CAGCTGGCCTGGAACTTATTATGTAGACCAGGCTGGCCTTGAACTCACAGAAATCTGCCTGCCTCTGCCTCCCAAGTGCTGGGATTAAAGGCATGCCGCACCATACCCAGAGAGGCCGAACTTCTTTCTGAAATGGTCTCACTGCTCTTTTTGGGTCTCAGCCTGAGAGCCCTTCGCATGATGCCCTCCATGGCAGGCTTAGCCTTGGCAGAGCCATGAAGGCCTTTGTACCACACTAGATCAAGGGGAAGATGGGGAGGCACTGGGGCAGGACTCCAGTGAGACCCAGCTCCTGATTGCTCTTGCAGGTGGTGGTGGGAATCGCAAAGGCAAAAGCAAGAAATGGCGACAGATGCTGCAGTTCCCCCACATCAGCCAGTGTGAAGAGCTACGGCTCAGCCTTGGTGAGACCTATGTGGATACTGGCTATTGTCAGAGTGAGCTAGTGGGGAGCAGGTCATTTACTCACAGGGAGCCTTCCCAGATCTTGCCCAGGGCCATGGGGGCACCATTGTGTTGGGGGAAGTTTGAGACTACAGCACCCAACCCAGTTTCAGTTCCTGGGCTTGAAATGGGTGCGTGGCAGAGACTAGGACTGACTGGGGTCACTGGAGGAAAGAATAACCAGTCTGGATTGGAGGTGGCCTGAAAGAAGCATAGCAAGGAAAGCAGGCTAGGGCCCACAGGTTTGGAACTCCAGTCCTGCACTTCCCAGCCTTCCCTACACCAGACCTGCGGGTACCCAGCAAAGCCGGGGGCTGTATGATGGTTACTTCTGGGAGAGGACAGAAAAGCTCAGGACCCCAGACCCCTGCTGATGGCCTGCATGTGTATAGAGTGCACCATAGCTGCTTACCCTGCCTGGGAAGGAGGCCCAGCTGAGAGCAGCGGAAGCCACAGCTTCCTCTCACACTTTCGCCAGGCAGGCAACAGGTGTAGGCTTGGCCTAGGCCCAGCCGGAACCTCCCAGACCACACCCAACCCCAGCACTGTGATGTGAATCAGGACACAACATGGGGAGGGAGACCTGGGCTCTAGAGCCCAGACTCCTGGCTGTGTGACATTGAGTTCATCAACCTCTCTGGGCCCTATGGTCCCCAAGTTATATTGGGATTGTCCACCAGAAGGTTAATAGTGTAGGTTCTGAATCAGATAATGGCTGCCAATCTTTGGCGCTAGAAGTTATTTGATCTCAGGCCTGGGGGTATTGGCAGGAGTGTCCTACTAATGGGTTCCAGACTTGTGACCCCAGCAGCGCCCCTCTGACCTGCAGAGCGTGACTACCACAGCCTATGTGAGCGGCAGCCCATCGGGCACCTGCTGTTCCGGGAGTTCTGCGCCACGAGGCCTGAGCTGACCCGCTGTACTGCCTTCCTGGATGGGGTGGTGAGTGCACCCAGCCCAGTACTAAGGACAGGCAGAGGTCCTGGCCACTATGCCCTATTTCCCCACATCTGTCGTTCCTCTCAGCCCCAAGCTTCTCTGCCTCTCACCCTGTAGGCTGAGTATGAAGTGACCCCTGATGAGAAGCGAAAGGCATGTGGGCAGAGGCTAATGCAGAATTTTCTGAGCCACACGGTGAGTGAGCAATGATGGAGAGATGATGTCAGCAGGCAGGGTCTGGTGACAACAAGCAGAGGAGTGACCACAGCCTGGGCAGTGAGTGCCTTGGAGCTATTCCAAGCAGCACATGGGCATAGAGCCCAGGGATTGGGTTGGGCTTGAGCCAGATAGCCTGCCAGTAATTCTGTCTCACCCTGCCTCAAGAGGGACAGCAGGGAGTCCAGCAAGGAGGCAGCTAGTGCACTGTCTACCTGCAGCCACCCTTGGCAGGCATACACGTCTGGGAGCCCCCCTGCATTGACCTATCACCTGTCCCTAGGGTCCTGACCTCATCCCTGAGGTCCCTCGGCAGCTGGTGGCTAACTGTGCCCAGCGGCTAGAGCAGGGACCCTGCAAAGACCTCTTCCAGGAGCTGACCCGGTAAGGCTCTCTATCCACAGGTCTAAAATTGTGCTAGGGAAGGGGAGTTCTGTGGGCCCAGAGGTCTGTGAGCAGCTCAGCTCCTTGTAAGCCCTGACCATGCTGTTTTGACTTGGCCAGTTGTCTCCCACCTCAGTTTCAGCATGGAATGCATGTTTCCTGCTCAGTGTATTAATGAGAGGATTGGCCAAGGGCGATACTCTGTAGGCTGAGCATGCCCTGTGGCTGAGCATGCCCTGGGCTATCAGAGTAAGAACTGGGTTTGTCAGGGCCTTACCTCTGGGCTGATCCTTCCCTCAACAGGCTGACCCATGAGTACCTGAGCATGGCCCCTTTTGCCGACTACCTCGATAGTATCTACTTCAACCGTTTTCTGCAATGGAAATGGCTAGAAAGGTGAGTTCCTCCCAGGCTGGGCTGAGCTAGGCCAGGTTGTAGAGCTCTGCATAAACATTTGCTTTGTTATCCCTTGCTTACAGGCAGCCAGTGACCAAAAACACCTTCAGGCAGTACCGAGTCCTGGGCAAAGGTGGCTTTGGGGAGGTGAGTAGCCACCTAGTGCCCCTGGCAGAGTTGCATTAGGTGGGTAGAGTGGGCCTGGACCATCCCACCTCAGCAAGTGCATGGCTGGCCGCCATTTTCCCCCTGTCTACCCTGGCTACAGGTGTGTGCCTGCCAGGTGCGGGCAACAGGCAAGATGTATGCTTGCAAGAAGCTGGAGAAGAAGAGGATCAAGAAGCGGAAAGGGGAGGCCATGGCACTCAATGAGAAGCAGATCCTGGAGAAAGTGAACAGTAGGTTTGTAGTAAGTACAGCAAGGAGCTCTCTCCCTTCCCCTTGGCCATACTGTCATCTACCTTACCCACCCACCAGACTAAAGTCCCTCCCTTTCACCAAAGGAACTGTCCTCTGCCCTTTCCCTTCCTGCCTGGGACAGTACCCAAGAAGGGTAGGGTGGGGGGTATTATTCTAGGCCTAGGAAGCCTGCCGAGCCACATGGAATGGTACACAGAAGGATTTTTCTGGTGGCTGGCATTAGGCCTACCCCAGGGCTACCCCCCACAGCTCCTACCTGAGGATCTGGGTCTCCTGGGCACAGGTGAGCTTAGCCTATGCTTATGAGACCAAGGATGCCCTATGCCTGGTGCTGACACTGATGAATGGAGGTGACCTCAAGTTCCACATCTACCACATGGGCCAGGCTGGCTTTCCTGAAACTCGAGCTGTCTTCTATACTGCCGAAATCTGCTGTGGCCTGGAGGACCTGCACCAGGAACGCATTGTATACAGGTGGGGCTGGGCTTCTTCAGGCTGCTGTTCTAGGATGTGGCCCTTCCTGGACAGTGGTAGCAGCTAGGTACAGTGGCAGCAGCCAAAGCTGCTTAATCAGGCTGGACAGTGGAAGGATATTGTTGTGCTGGAGGTTTGTCTAGCCACAAGCCAACACTGGGTCCAGGGTAAAACCCCACATTTGATAGACTTGAGTGGTTCAGACCTAGGATTGAGGATCTGGCTGACTAACTTGTAAATTCTGACTTTTGTCACCCTTCTCTGTGACTTTGAGCCAGTCAGCTCTCTGCTCCCAACATGAGTTTTTCTGGATAGCAGAGACCCTCAAGATGGGCTCAGTAGTAGAGATCTCTGCTTTGGTGATTATGAGTGATGCTTTCATTTGAGCCTCACAGTGGCCTCCTGAGGGGAAAGAAGAGTAGCCTCATTTGACAGAGAAGGTAGAGTTGACCACCAGATGGGAAGGGAGCGCTTCAACATCAGGGGTGAACAAGACCAAGGATGATGTCCAGGGAGCCCCTCCTCCCAGGTGGGTACACCCCCTGGGTGGCAACCCTTACTTCCTCCAATTGGAGCCACTTTTCACTTGCCTAGACAGTTCCTGGAGTCTTGGTTCTAGATCCTTCTCTTGTTCCTCTGAGTTGGCTGCTGCCTGGGGAGAGCAGGGTTCTTCTACCCTGGCAGCAAATGAACCCTTCACCTTGCTCTACATCCAGTCCCAGGAGGCAGGTGAGCTAGGAGAGGCTGCGCCTGTCTGACTTCCTGGAAAACAGTAGCATGTGACCCTGCCTTTCTCTCCCAACAGGGACCTAAAGCCAGAGAATATCCTGCTGGATGACCATGGTGGGTAAGGAGGCCCAAATGGGAGGCAGGATGAGATGGGGAAGCTTGGTCTATTCTTGGTCCCACTTGCTTCTCTACCCCTACTCAGGCCACATCCGAATCTCTGACCTGGGACTGGCTGTGCATGTTCCTGAGGGCCAGACCATCAAAGGCCGTGTGGGCACTGTGGGCTACATGGGTAAGTCTCTTTGACACCAGCCTTCTGGATCCCCTTGCTATCCTAGGCCTTGCCCACCCACTAGTGTATGGGGGTCTCCTGTACCTCAGAAAGTAGACAGTCCATACCATTACTGCTGCTGCAGTTCTTCTGTGGATTAGGAGACCAAGTCCTATCTGGGTTCCACAGTTGGAACCTCCACTGTCCATTTGACGAATGTGTATTGAGCCCCTAAAATTGGTCCAACCTGGCCACAGGGTATGAAGGAGAAGGAAGCTAACACATTTCCATGGCCCTAGCTCAGTGTTCCCCTGAATTGCCCATGTTTGGAATAGATGCCCATCTGAGGTGCAGGTTAGTGGAGGCCCTGGCGTGTGAATTGTGTGATGCAATTTAGTCCAAGGCTCCACCTTGGGCTAGGCATTCCACTTTTAGCCTGTCTTTCTTCTACTGTAAAACTTCATTAGAACTGCTTTCCCTGGTGGCCTGAAGATGAAAGGAGATGGTGGAGGGAGAGCTCTGCAGGTGCCTGCCCTGTCAGGTGGGAGGTCTCAGCAAGTGGGTGTTTTCATCCCTTTATGAAATCCAGAAGTAACAAACTAGTAGCTGTGTAGACCCAATTTGGCCTACATTAATTGTAAAGTTGAATTTTTAGAATAATTTGAATTGTCAATATTTAATAAGCCAGTTTAATTGTAAAAATAAAATAAAGGGGGGTCTTCTGGGATGGAGGTATATGTAGCTCATGGTAGAGTACTTGCCTGGCATGTGCATGGTCCTGGGTTCAATCCTCAGCACTATAAAAAAATAAAAAATAAATTTAAAAAAAATCAGGGGCTGGAAAGATGGCTCAGCGGTTAAGAACACTGGCTGTTCTTGGAGAAGACCCAAGTTCGAATCCCAGCACCCACAGGGCAGCTAACAACTGTCTGTAACTCCAGTTCCAGGGGACCCGACGGCATGACACAGGTTCACTTACCTACATGCAGGCAATACATGCATACACATAAAATATAAAATAAAATAAAACAATAAATAAAAATATCTTTAAAAAAAAAAATCAGAGCTGGGGACTGTGGGTATGACTCCCCTCAAGGCCACATCAGCACCCACTGATGGGATATGTGTTTTCTTATACTGGCTAAGGTCCCCACTGACCCAAAGGTGCCAGGGGATATTCAAGCTAATCCCCTGATTTTCCATTTCTGGGGCCCAGATAGCTGTTTCTCACCACTTACACCCTGACTCCTGTGCCCCTGCCCAGCTCCAGAGGTGGTAAAGAATGAGCGGTACACGTTCAGCCCTGACTGGTGGGCATTAGGCTGCCTCCTGTATGAGATGATTGCAGGCCAGTCACCCTTCCAGCAGAGGAAGAAGAAGATCAAGCGGGAGGAGGTGGAGCGGCTAGTCAAGGAGGTGCCTGAGGAATATTCCGAGCGCTTTTCCCCCCAGGCCCGTTCGCTCTGTTCCCAGGTATCACAAGGAGTAGGAGGCTTGACTGGGCCGGGCTGGAGCTGGGGGCACCTCACCCACCCACTCCAAGGCACCCTAACCACCTCTACCCTGCTGCAGCTCCTCACCAAAGACCCTGCCGAGCGCCTAGGGTGTCGTGGTGGTGGTGCCCGGGAGGTAAAGGAGCACCCCCTTTTCAAGAAACTGAATTTCAAGCGGCTGGGAGCTGGCATGTTGGAACCACCTTTTAAGCCTGATGTGAGTCCTGCCCACCCCTGCTAATGGTAGAGCCAAACCAGGGCAAAGGGCTGGGCATGGAATAATAGCCAGAACACTTTCTTTTTGTTGTTGTTGTTGTTTTTAATTTTTTATTGAATTTTTGTGTATTTCATACAGAACATCTTAATCATCTTTATACTCCCTTCCCCGTTGGCTCCCTCCCATAGCCCCCCCCACCACTGGAATTCATACATTTTGTCATTTGTATTAAGGCTTACCATGCCAAGTTAGTGTCCCCAAATGTCCCTCAATACAAGTTCATTCACTGATGTCTTGTCAGCCTATCTAGAGTCCCTCCCATTAAGAAGGTCAGCTCTTGGCCGGGTGTGGTGGCACTCACCTTTAATCCCAGCACTCTGGAGGCAGAGGCAAGTGGATCTCTGTGAGTCCAAGGCCAGCCTGGTCTACATAGTGAGTTCCAGGACAGCTGGGGCTACAGGGAGACCCTGTCTCAAAAAGACCGAAAAAAAAAAAAAAAAAAGGTCAGCTCTTCCTCACCCAGCAGTAATCAGCTGCCAATAATTCTTCGACTAAGATTGGGGCTTGCTGTCTGTTTCCACAGTTCTGTGCTGAGTTTTTGTCTGCTTGAGTTTATATGGGTCTTGTGCATGCTGACACCATTACTGTGGGTTCATATGAGGAAGGTCCCAGGAGCCCATAGGACTGTTATTTCCATATGGTCATGTACCTCCTCCCTGGTTCTGCCCCCTCTTCCGCAATGGTCCCTGAGCCCTGGGTGGGTGGATTTTAATATAGGAGACCTATTCAAGGCCCCATACTGTGTAGACTCTTATTCTCTACGTTTTGGCCATTTGTGACCTTTTGTGTTCCTGACCCTTCTGTTGCATGAGGGAGCTTCGTTGATGAGAGAATTAAAAGATGCATTAGTGTTCGCTTCATCCCTGGTTCTGTTTGGTGAGCCTTAGATGTAGAGGCTGCATCATAGATGTGCCACTTAGTCTTGGGCAATTCACAGACAATCTCTGTGACCACTTGTGGAACTCTGTAATAATCTCTGTTGAAAAAGAAGCTCCTTTGATGGGTGGTGATTGGGATACTTGTCTGTAAATTTAAGGATCCATATTTTGCACATAGTAAGAAATTACATTTATCTAGGGATATGACAACCTTGATGCTTTCTCTAAGATCTATGACCTTTCCAGCTCTGTGTATTTGGCTATAGTACCACTACTGAGTTTCTTCCCATTGAGTGAGCTTTAAGTCCAATTAGGTAGCTGTTGATTACCCTCAAGATAAAAGTGCCATTACTGCAACTAGTGTTGTTTGCTGTGCTGGTCATTGATGTGGTTTTTAGGCCCTGAAGCTGGGGTTGGACCATCAATTTATGTTCTCCCTTACCAGCTTGCATAGTGCATGAGAGCTAGCCTTCAGGAAAGGTGGCTTCCAGGTCAGTTCCAGCTCCATTGCTCCAAATCCTGGATCCGAAGTATATCCTGTCTTCAGCAACAGGGTCTTACCTTCAAGTTCTGGGAGGTAATTAAGGACTGTGGCAATAGCCTGTGTAATTTTGGGAGTCTCTTGAACTACTCTATGGCCCAGGCACTTTCAGTTCACGTGTTGGAAAGGTCCATCTAATGATTCAGACTCCTCTCCAATCCTATGTGTGTGCATTTGTGTGTATATAAGTATTTGTGTATTACAGGAATTTGCTTCCTTTCTCTATGCACTGTGGGGTTGATTGCATAATCTTCACTGTCAGGCATCTCTCCCCAGGAAGTGGCCGTGGTGGCCCAATAGCTCCACATCTTGTTAGCTAGCCATACCAGTAAACAGAGAGCAACTCTTGCTCAGGAATTTAAAATGAAATCGAAAAGGGGGAAACAAATCCTAAGCTGTGCTCAGTGCCTCTGATGTCTGAGGAGCCTTACAGAATACTTGGATCGCCTACCCACCTGACCCACTGCCAGTGGGAGAGTCAGTGCATTTCCCAAAAGAAAACCAAGATGGTGGTGCCAGCAGAGGGAGGGCTGTTGAGCTGACTGCCTTTCTTGAAATACAGTTTTACTCATGTACTGAGCATCTCATGGGCCAGGCACCCTGCAGACAAAAATGTCCTGAGAAATGGCATCAGAGATATGGCAGAAACCCAGCTCAGACTTATACCCTATTGAGCTTGTTGGTTCATTTGGCCAGAAAGTCTCTCTGGGCTACCATCAGGGCTTTGTGCTCGGTTGCTAGGACTTTCTATCCTTTGACTCTTCCACTTGCCTGTATCCCTCCCCCTGAACTCAGATTTCTCTGTAATGTCACAGAGAAAGTTCTGATTGGCCAAGATTGGGTCTCTCTCTCGTAAGTTTGTGGAGCCTGGGTCCTGTGATTGACAGTTCACCAGGAACATTTGGGAAGGACTGGAGGTGATAGGCTGACCAGGTTGATGGTTGTCAACTACACGTTTATGCATTTGATAAATACCTGAATGTTCATATGTGTCAGACTGGGGAAATAAGGTCCACAGGACCCAGACCCATCCTTAGGCTCTACTGGGGGGGGGGGGGAACACCACAATAAACCAGTAAACAAAGAAGATTTCAGGTAGTGCTAACTGGGACAGGGGAAAAAACAGGCTAAGAAGACAGTGATGAGGAGTTTAGTCATTTTAGTCAGTGTGGTCTCTGAGAAGCTGATGGATGAACAGAACTGAAGGAGAGCATCCTTTGATGGCGATGGGCACCCCAGGCAGAAGGCACAGCCAGGCATTGAAGCCCAAGGACAGGGATCAACCTAGTGAAATGGAACAGCATGACAAGAACAATGTGGCTGGAGCAAGTGTGCAGAAAAAGAGCAATATTGTGATGCTATAAGGATGGCAGGAGGCCTTTGGGAGGGTTCCAGCCTAAATGTGAGGTATAGGGAGTGGGTCATAGGAGGGAATGGTGGTGGCTCATACAGCAGACCTCACCTGTACCCAGAGGGTAGACACTGGCACTAGAGCCCAGCAGCTCTGCCTTCTGAGGCTGCCCTTGCTCAGGTTTATTCCTACATGGCTGTGTATATCATCTCATTTAACTTTGAAATAGTTGCACTACCTCTGGATTGTTAGTTCAAAGTTAGAAACAAAATAGGTGCCTATTTGTCTATTTTGGATCTTTTATATATGTGTGAGTGAATGGGATTGTGCTGTATATGGTCCTCTGTGCCTGGCTTCTTTTACTAAGAATGATTTTAAGGTTCATTCATGCTGAATATTATCTTGTACGGATATACATTTTATTTATTCATAGTTGATAAACATTAGAGTATTTCTTTTGGGGGGCCTACCAAGAGTAACGTGTCAACTTTTTTTTGGAATGAGGTCTCATGATGTTGCTTTGTGTGGTCTTGAACTCATGGATTCATGCATTCCTTCTGCCTCAGTACACACTTTGGCACAGATTTATAAGATCACGTGCCATATGATAATGATGATGATAATGAATGTATTAATTGGTAGGTAGACAGTGTGTTGTGCTGGGGACAGAACACAGGGCCTCAAGCATACTAAGCAAGTGCTATACTACTGAGCACTTGCTGCCAACCCCATGATGATGATAATATTTTAATTGACTTCCTTTGTGGTAGAATTTGAAAGACAGTGAAAAGGCAGAAAAGAAAGTAGTCTTCTGCCAAGCTTGGTGGCCTGCACCTTTAATCCAAGCACTTGGGAGGCAGAGGCAGGTGAATCTCTGTGAGTTCCAGGTCTACTGGGGCTATAGGAAGACCCTGTTTCAAAAAGACCAAAGAAAGGAAAAAGGAAAGGAAATGAGGAAGAAAGGAAAGAAAGAAAGAAAGAAAGAAAGAAAGAAAGAAAGAAAGAAAGAAAGAAAAACAGAAAGAAAGAAAGAAAGAAAGAAAGAAAGAAAAGAAAGAAAGAAAGAAAGAAAGAAAAACAGAAAGAAAGAAAGAAAGAAAGAAAGAAAGAAAGAAAGAAAGAAAGAAAGAAAGAAAGAAAGAAAGAAAGAAAAAAGGTCTTCTAATGCTAAGGCAGACTCCCAGTGGGGACTCAGGAGGTCGGTTGAGAGGACCATTCTCCAGTACTCTGGTGACTATGAGGGGATGGAGCAAGCCACTGGACATCCCAGGATGGAGACTCATTCACCTCAGGTACTGCATATGGAGATGGCACTCTATACATACCCAGATAGCCCCTGTGCAGGTGGAAGGCCAGGCCAGCAGCAGGCCCGTCCATAGCTTCATTTAGTCATTGACCAGCAGGGGATGACTCCAGTTTACAGAAGACAAACCTGCTCCAGAGGTAAGGGAGTACTGGGCTGAGGAATACATGGAATCACCTGGCTGCTGTCTCCAAACCAGGGAGCTGCGGGTGTCAGTACGGATCCAGGCCAAGACTGAGTGAGACTCAAGCCTTCCTGTCTGACTGCTGTTGTCTCTCCTCCCAGCCCCAGGCTATTTATTGCAAGGATGTTTTGGACATTGAACAGTTCTCTACAGTTAAAGGCGTGGAGCTGGAACCCACTGACCAGGACTTCTACCAGAAATTTGCCACAGGCAGTGTGCCCATCCCTTGGCAGAATGAGGTAGGGGCCTTCCCTGCATGTGGAGTGGGCTCCAGGGAGGCAGCCGTGGGGCCAGCTCTCACAGGTGCCTGTTCTTGGATAGATGGTGGAAACCGAGTGCTTCCAGGAGCTGAATGTCTTTGGGTTAGATGGCTCAGTTCCCCCAGACTTGGACTGGAAGGGCCAGCCACCCGCACCCCCCAAGAAGGGATTGCTGCAGAGGCTCTTTAGTCGCCAAGTAAGTTCTAACAGTGTCTGATCTGGGTCCCCAGCCTACTTCAAGGGGATGGTGGGTGGGAGGCAGAGCTGGTGCCCGCCTGCACTGGGAGTAGGCATCTTCCAGCCCTGCCAGCGGTGCCCAAGGTCTCTGGCCTCATTCCTGCCTGTCTCCCACCCCTGGCTGGGCTCATGGCCTCTTTTCTTTTTCCAGAGGTGAGCAGTGTGGGCTCCCCATGGGTTGGCCTTGATGCCTGGCCTTGGGGAGCCCCAGGCAGCCCTTCCATGGCAGAGGAGAGATGTAGGAGAAAGAAGTCTGGTGCCCACCTTCCCTGCTTCCCTCCCTGCTGCTTGATTCCCTGCACCCTGGCTCCTTCAAGCTGCTAACCTTGCTTAGCATCTGTCTCTCCATGCTTGAGTCTGTCCAAGGGATGGACAGAGGCCTTGCCCTAGCAGATCCTGGGAGCTCCCTAGTCTTATTTCCAGTTTGTTGCCAGAAAGTTCTGCCCTAACACCACCTATGTATGGCCTGAGCTATTGCTCCAGGCCCCTCATGGGAGCCCCCTTTCTGGACATGACCCTGGGCAGTGCCTATCCTCCCCTGGCAGAACCAGCCTCATTCACCCTTACTCATGGCTAATAGCACCTGCTCTGCCTCTCTCCCCTCATGTCTTCCCCATCCCTCCAGGATTGCTGTGGAAACTGCAGCGACAGTGAGGAAGAGCTCCCCACCCGCCTCTAGCCCTCAGGCTGAGGCTCCCACCGGCAGTTGGCGGTAGCAGCTACTCCCAGTGCTGTTTACAGTTTTACACAGTGGTCTTCCCTATTGGCCACTCAAGTTGTGGCCTGGGGAGCACAGCCAGAACTGTCCCCAGTGTCCTCTGTCCCTCAGCCCGTGGCCCAGCTGAGTCTGACAAGGCCTGGGCCATCCTGGGACAAAGGTGCGTCCCTTCAGCTCTTCTCCCTGGAGCTCAGGGGCTTTGTGTATTTATGTATTTGTATGAATGTATATAACAAGAGTGTTCTTAGTTACACCATAGACCTGGCACCCTAACCAGGGCAGCAAGCCCTAGCTGGGAGAGCCAAGAGCTGGCAGGGGAGCCACTGCCAAACTCGAGGCTTCTCAAACCCAGTCTGGATGAACAGAGGCTGGGCCAGGTTAGACCTCTGACCCCCCAGCATTGCACTGGCCTCCACCAACCTCCAATGAGACTTGTGCCTGCCCTTGCTGTCGTGGACTCAGGCTACCACCTTCTGGTTGCCCAGTGTTGTCATTTCTCCTCAGCGCTTGTCAGAACTGGAGTTGGGAGCTACTGTAACCCCTAGGCCTGTGCCACACTGTATAACCAGAGATGGAGCTGACTGGGACCCATTAGACCACTGCCCAAGCTGTTCAGATGGGTCTCCCTCTGCCTTCCAGTTTCCAGGGTACCTTATCCCTTATACTGTGCCCTGTCCTGAAAACAACTTTTTCAGAAATGCCACAGCCCAGGCCATAGGAGGGGATGGAATTATCCCTCATTAAACCCAACATTCCAGAATCCCTCATAACAGTTGACCCATGCCCAGCAATAATCCACCCCTCCCTGTGAGTGCCTCTGTGTGAGTGTGTATCTGTGTGTATGAAGAGGGTAGGGTAAGGCTGTGCCTGTGCCCCTGGCCCTAGCCCTGACCTTTCCCAAACTGTGATGGCCGTCCTGATGTTCATGTTAGGACAGCATGGGACCCCAGGGCCCTGGCTTTTGCATATTTAAAGCCAATTTTTATTACTCATTTTGTCCAATGTAAGCTGCCATTTGTCTCTATGTGAATACACTCCGAGCACAAATCTGGCCAGCCACCACTGCCTGCCTCTTCTTTCTGGTATTGCAGGGATTCTTCCTGCTCTCTTGGCCCAGCCAGAAGTGGGAAAGGATTGGAGATAGCCCTGGCATGGGACTAGGGGCTGCCCTTCCAAGGTCCAGGGGCCCTAAAGACTTTGTAGGCAGTGAGGCTTTGGTGTAGGGGCTCAACCACTGGGTTTCTGCCCTCCTAGATGGGACAGCGTGAAAAAGGAAGCCTTAGATACCAGCTAGGGGTAGTGCTGTCTGATTGCTGGAGAGGCAGATACGTCTGGCTGGTCTTTAGTCTTTCCAAGGCCAAGATGATCTTTTGAATGTAGAGTAGCCTGGAAAGACAGGTGGTAGGATCTGCTAGTAGAAACACTAACCCTAGCTCTGTCTTAATCTGGCCTTCTGCACTGGTACACATACCTGAGATTCATTTGTCTGTTTTGCTCTTGAAGCATTAACTCTGGGTGGGCAAAGACTAGGGCGGTGATGTAAGAAGGCTATGGAGGGGTAGGAGAGATCAGCCACTGGAGTTTCAGGGAGCAATTTTTGAAGTTAGTGGCTAACCAAGTCCTGAGGTAGGTAGCCACCTGGAAGACGGATTGGCAAAAGCATTTCTGGGGAAAGTACCTGTGCAAGTTCTTCCTGGCAGGAGCTGTTTGACCACAAATTTCTCCCAGATTTTGAAAACCTATCCCAGAGTCCTTAATTCCCAAGAATGCCCTGAAATCATAAAGGTTTGCTCTTTGCTCTGAGCTAGGCACCAAGTAATGCAAAAGTGACAGTCATGGGTACACATCCTAGTCTAATAGCTTTTTAAGCTTGCTTTACATAGGCCCTTCTCTTGTCTGAGGATATCTTGCAGAGAGTCTACAAAGCAACCAGGGAGTCCATTGGAGCTGTCACCCTGTCCTACTGTCCTATGTCCTTCCCATACCCCATGCCATACCTCCCTCTATCACCAGCAGGACTTGAGACTGCTGGGGGAATGAGTGTTGGCACCAAGCTGAGCAGCTGCTTGGTTGTCATTTTGTTTTTAAGTTTTTCGAGACAAGGTCTCACTATGTAATCCTTATTGGTCTGGAACTCACTTTGTAGCCCAGGCTGGCCTTAAACTTTTGGCAGTCCTCCTGCCTCTGCCTCCCTTGTACTAGAATTACATGTATGTGCCACTATATCTGACTTGAGTGGCTATCTTGATAGCTGCCCGCAGTTGTGCAGCACCAACTTTTCTGAAGGAGCTTCTTGGCACATAGCATACTTGCTGCTGCTTCCATCAATGTGAAGGGAATAAGTAGAGTACCGCCAGGTCTATCAATGGGTAGAAAAGTCAGATGAAGGAAAGCTAAGGATGAGTGGGAACCAGGTGAACGTGTGGTATCATGAGGTACTATGCCTGCTACTGGATCCAGACTTCTCTTCAACTTCTCCTTGGGCATCAAAAGAACTTCTTGACTAAGGTTAAGCTCACCTTGTATCTTTGAAGTTTCCCAAAAACACTGTTAAGCTCAACTCCTCCCCACCCAGCTCAATAGTGAGAACTAGGGACCCAGATGGAGATGCGGTCCCCACCAGCTTGGAGCTAATCTGGTAGGCAGGGAAACGGGAACAGTAGCACCCAGTGTGATTAGCACTGGGGCAGAGAGGGTTCTAGAGGGCTGACACGGGGGTACCAAACAGAGGAAGTCCCTTGCCCACAGAAGCATCAGAGTTGGTGCTCTCCAGGACAAGGCCAGATGTGCCCAGGCATAGGAGCCAAATGGTTGAACATAGGATGGGAAAGGGGAGTGACTGCAGTGGAGGTTGGTGAGATACAGCCAGCTTCCTCTGGAGGGGCGATGGATGGTATCCATGAAGAGTTTTGACTATGCTGAGGTATCTGCCCTAGCATCTATAAAAGCAACTGATCTTCCTTTGGGGAACCCAACTCCCCTATTCCTTTCTATGTTTAGGTGGCACTGGGCCTCTACTCCACCTATATACCACACACATCTAGCACATGTGACCCAGGTAGCAATGTTGGAAGCTATGAAACCATCCTGTCTAATTGGATGTTAAGAACAGGGGAGGTCATGGATGTAGCTCAGTAGAGAAATGTTTACCTAGCATGTGTGACAGGCCCTGGGTTTGATCTCCAGTACTGTTGGGGGAAAGGGGGTAGAGCACTATTAGTTGCAGACTGTGTTCTCATGAGGGCATGACCACCAGAAACAAGGTGCTTTAGCCATTTATGTCTTGCTGTTCATTATTAAGTCAAACTCCAGACCTATGGAATCGTAGTGGCCAGACTGAAAACCTGCCCAGTGTACTCTGATGCAGTTAACTTTTGTTTGAGGCCAACCATGATGGCACCCATTGGAAACAAGAATGCACCCAGAGTAACATGGGTGCTCATACCCAGAGGAAAGGGACTGAACAATAGGTGGCTGTTTGGAACCCATCCTGTCCCAGCCCCTGCATGAATTGGTTCATTGATGAACACTTGGTGAAATGAGTTCCTAAAGAATCACTTCTGGATTTGTTTGCTTGTTTTTTTGTTAGAACTATCTTGAGAAAGAGATAAAGTTCCCTTTCCACTGGGGATGGATGGCACAACTTAAATCTGGAATTCTGGAGGTCATCCTTTGGTGATAGCCTGCCTGATAAACTGTGACCAGAGCAGGAATCTCCTGTGGGTTTAAGCTTATTTATTGTAGCATTCTGTCTCTTGCAGACCAAGCTATCCCAGTTGATGTAGTGGAAGGTGTTTTTGAAAGACTCCTAAGTGCCACAGAGAAGCTGAAGTAGAAACAACCAGTTAAAAGATTAGGACAGCCAGGTTCAAGTTTCTGTAAGACTTTAGTGTGGGGCTCTCCCTCAGGGGTATCAGTCACCTTGGACTGAATAGGTCCTTGAGGCCTAGGAGATAGATTCAGCACTTAGGTGGTCCCCCCTTCACTGCTTCCCAGTAGGCATGCCTTCTGAGAACACAGCGGGTGGGGTTATGAGTTGGGAGAAAGCCACACTGGGGTGCTGACTTGCTCTAGCCCCTAGGGGCCCACTGCCTGTGTCCTGTCCGGATGTGGCCTGGACACGTGTGTTGTCCAGATTGACCTGTATGTGTATGTGAGTTCTTGATCTCAGCTGCTTGGCTGAGCATCTGGAGTGTATGGCCGCTGTGTGCCGCTTGTCCCCAGCTGGGTAGCCTGTTGCCAGGGGCTGTGCATCCCCGTGGGGGATGCCTTCCGTGGTGCGAACCCCGCACCTATGCGTGCCGGGTCTGGGTGTGGCAGGTGGGTCCAGGGTCCCACCCACCCCCTTTCCTCCCCAGCAGCCTCCACAGCTGCGTGTGGCTGAGGGTGGAGGGGCTCTCTGTTGGCTGCGCGCGCGCGCACGCCAGGCTCAGCACGCGCCCGTGCGCGCGCCCCGCGCCTCCAGCCCAGCGCTCGGAGCCGCTTTCTCTGCCACAGTCTGCTCCCCGGGGCCGTCGCCTACCCCAAGCTGGGGGTTCTGTCCACTGGGCCGCTCGCCCCGAGGCAGGAGGACGAGTTCGAGGAGGATGCCAGGGCCCGTGAGTACTGTGGCGGCTGCGGCCCGGGAGGGTACGGAGCGCGGGCGGAAGATGGTCTCGGGACTGATGACCCTCCCTGCGGGCGGCTCGGAGCCTTGGCTGGGAATCGCCACCCGGACCCCGACCCGGACAGCGGGCAGCCCCTCCCCCAGCCCACACCGGAGGGAAGGAAGGAGGGGAGAGCGCGAGGGAGCCGGAGCCGCCACCAGTTCGCTTGGTAACCGTTGCCACAGCAACGGGGTTGCGCTCCCCGGCAACGCGACTGCGGGGAGGCGACGCCCCTCCCCCACCACGACTGGGGGCGCCCAGGGAAAAGGGGGTGCTGTGTGGGGAGAACATCGCTCCTCTGGCCGATCTGGGTGTGCCTGCCTCAGCCCGTCGAGGGTGGGGGTGAGGGCAAGCGGCTCTGTGGGCACGAGCTGGCTCCCACGTGGCTGCAGTCGTCGCAGCAGGGCTCCTAGGGCTGCGAACGTGGAGGCGGCCCAGACCCTGGGCCAGCCACCGGAGGAGGACGAGGCCTGGAGGCTGGGTCTGGGGGTCTCTTCCGGGTAACTCCTAGCACTAGCACCACTACCAGGGCGGTCTTCCGCCCCCTCGCGACACGGCCTGGCCCGAAATTGCATTCTTCAGAGGCTATATTTCTTACCAGGGTAAAGAAAAGAAACTTGCATTCCTCCTCATGGCATCCCATGGGCTGGCAGTTGGGTCTTTACTTGGTGTTGCTAGTCACCATTCTCCAGGGCTAGAAGCAGAGCAAAGGACATTGCTGACCCAGGGAAGCTGAGTCCCAGGCCAGATGGGAGTGACCCAGCTGATTGTCTGGACCACAGTACCCCTTTCTTGTATGTGCACAATGCCTGGACTGTGTGGGGTGGCATGGAGGCTGGCTTGCAGAGGCCAGTGCCACATGGAGGTGCCCTGTCCAGGGGAGCTCCTTAAATGGCTGCTGAGTCAGAGGAAATGACCTCTGGCTCCTCTCCCAGCCTCCCCTCAGCAGGCAGTGTGCTGGAGAAATGGCCCCCCTGCCAGTTCTCCAGGGCCTGACTCAGCAGATGCCAGCCCAGACCACAGGCTTCAGATCCAGCTTTGCTGAACCACAGCCACTGCTAGGTTTCTTTTTCTATCCAGAGGGAGGTGTTGGGCACCAGAGGTGACCAACATCTGGGGCACTTGAGGCCTTGGCATAAGATGCCCTTAAATGGGTACTACCTGGGAAGTCAAGCTTGAGTCTCCTGTAGGCAGAGAGACCTGGGGAATTTGTCACAGGTTCCTTTTATTCTTTTCCTGCTCTGTGTACAATCTGTGCTAAATGCTCTATATTCATAATTTCCTAATTGTTAGAACAGTTGTGTACGATAAATTCATTATCTCACTTTAGAGATGAAGACCATGGCTCAGGAGGGTCAAGAGACTTGCCCAAGGTCAAACAACCAGTAAGTGATAGAGCTGGGTTTTCTACTGCCGATTTGTCTGCTGACATAACCCCTCTTAGTCATGAGATCCAGGCAGGAAAGAATTCTAGAGCCTTCCAGAAGAGCATGCTTAGCCTTCCTTCACAGTCCTCCAGTGAGGAAGTTCTCTGTATATTTCAGGCCTTGTGCCTTTCCTTCCAGCTGAATCAGCCTGCTTCTTTCTTCCTCACATGCTGTATAGGGTATGTTGCTGATAGGCTGGCTTTCTGTCTCCCTCCTCCATTTTCTTTCTGAGTCCAAGCCTCAGTCTGCCTACCTTAGCCCCCTGGGGTAGCCCCTAGTCTTTGGTGCATGGGTTCTGTGGTTTTTGCAGCTTGTAGTCCTGACTATGGGGAAATCTAGCAAATATGAGCCAAGGCAGTGCTGGGTCCTGTGGTTGCCCAGTCTAGCTAGGGATTGGAAACCTAAATGCCTCCAAGGGTCACAGGGTCAACGGAATAAGTGAAGTAGTTAGGTACCTGCTCATCATCAATTAGTATCACCATATAAGATGTTGACTTGGTATGGGCAGATCATCCAATTTTTTGATATCAAGCAGAAAAACACCTTTATGCAAATGTTTGCAACAAAAAATTACTGAAAAAAATTGTGAGCCATTGGATAACAAAACAGCCATAAAGCTGTGTTCAAGCTGTGGGTCTTAATTCTTGAGCTCTCCAGCCCATGGTAAAGTGAAGGAGGTTTCTGCTGGACCACCCCAATTGTAGGGCGCTGGCCTTTAGTTGGTCACATGCAGCAGTGTTCCTGTCCCTGACCTTTGACATTACCAGGCAGGTCTTATCATCCCTGCTCTATAGGTAAAATGACCTTAGGAATAGCCAGGATGGGATTACATGGCTCAGTTAGGGCCTAAACAGGACTTAAGCCCATGGCTCTCCTTAGTGCTTAGCATGTTACAACAGGCTGTGTACTCTTTATGAGAGGTAGGCATCATCTTCCCCTACCATTGGCCACTCCCCTTACAAGGACAGATTATCATGTGCCCAGGCTGAATGAGGGATGGAGGCACAGGGAGCCATGGGAATGATGAGTGTTTTTTAAATGTCTTGCCCCATGTCTTTCTCCCCTACTGCCCTCTATATGGCCAGAGCTGAGAAATGAGAGCCTAAGAAAATCCTTTATATCTACAGATTCACTGGGGCACCAGTCTCTGTTGTCATGTTTACAATTTCCCTGTGCCAGGGTCAGACTACAGAGATCTATAGAGCAAACTCCAAGCCAAGTTGTAATCAGCTCCACAGGCTGACTTTGGAAGCTGAGTGAAGTGAATCTCTCTGTGGCCAGAGTTCATCAGTTTTGGTGATGGGTGTAGAAATTTTCCCACTGTCACCCTGGTATGCCCTTCTTGCCAGTACACAACCACTTGGCTTCATGTACCTGAGTTGGACACAATCCTTGTTGAGCCTACATCCTTGTCTACAGAATGAGGTGGTAACAGCCACTTGCTGAGTATTTCTGAGATCACACTATGGAGGCCAGTGATGCCTGCAGAGCAGACAGGACAGGGTGACAGTTGCTTCCCACCCAGGCTTCACTCAGTATACCACACTATACTCTACTATTCTGTCTCATTCCTGGCCTGAGTCCCTGTCCTTTTACCCGAGAACCACAGTTTTAGCTCAGTACATAAGCATGAAGAGTCATCCAGACCTTTTGAAATGCTCTATTGAACGGGTCAAACTTTTCAAAAGCCCCTTGCCCAAGACTGCTCCCTGCCTCTGTGCACGCTTTGGCTTTTGTTGGAGGAGCCTGCAGACTCAGACCCAGATTCTTAGTCTCAGCCATACATCTTTTCCCACGGTCCCCACACTGTTGACAGTATACACCTTCCACTTGTTCATTTTCCTTGTTGGAAATCATGCCCTTCAGATGGACTCAGGGCCTTCTTGTTTTCTGCTTCCTGTTTCTCTTTTCTTAAATTCCTGGAGACTTTTTGAGGCATTGATTAAAGGTTCATCTTATGTGTACCATTTTGGGCATATGGCTTTGCTCAGTTTTCTTGGGCCATCCTGGGAGTATAGGAAAGGACGGGATGAAAGCAAGACCCCAGGTGTTTCCTAACCACTGTGCTGCCTCAATTTCCTCATTAATGACCATGATAAAGATTGAGCTAATTCTGCAAAGGGCACAGAGATATCTGCTTCTCAGCTAGGGTTGCATGGTTCAGACTGGTTCCTTTGAAACCTGTATGAGTATCTGAACCACATGGAGGGCTTGTCCAAACCCAGAGGGCTAGCTCCACTTCAAACATTTGATTCAGTAAGTCTGGGGTGGGATCCCAGAGTTTACATTTCTGGTCTTGAACTCATGAAAATCCTGTTCAAAATCCACCTCTCAAAACCTGGAATTACAGACAGAAGCTACCACACCTGGCTTCAAAGTTGACATTTCTAGCAAATTCCCAGCAGATACTGAGCCACAGAATGCCCCAGACTTAAGATTATGGGCCAGGGCCTCTTGGCCTCACCCATCCATTTCCCTGGACATGTCTACCCTGAGCCACCTACCTCATCCCCCTGGACTGAATGAAAATGAAGCCCAATGACCTCAAATGTTTTAGAGTAGCTTTTTAACTAGAAGATAATGCTGAACAGCCAGAAGGAGGCTTTAGGCCAGACTGGCCCTCTAGGCCAGTGTAGCCCCAGGAGGAGAGTATGTTTAGGACTAGCTGCTGCCCCTTAAACTAGGTACTGGAGCCAGACTAGTCCAGCTCAGTGGTGAATCCCCAAGAAAAAACTTCTCTCTGACCCACAGTTGCTTAGTCTGCAGAATGCAGTGAGGATTCTTATGCCCTGGCTGAAAGCAGCCACCTAGCAGATGTGGGGTTTAGCTCACCCCAGTCTGGCCTAATGCCCAGCCTGTTGAGATTGTGGTATATAGTTCCTGTACTTTGTTCCTTGTTGATCCTGTGTGCTTCCCCACCCTGAGCTAGACCACAACAGGTGGCTAGGCACTCCAGGGCCTTGGCATGAAGGAACAGAAATACAGTTTGACTACTAGGTGGCCTAGGTGGTGAGTACTAATAAACACTGGGCTTTTCATTTACATCTCACCACATAGGGAAAGTTGAGAGTCTGGATTCAGGTACAGGCTAAATCCTCATATTAGCTGTGTGACCTGGAATAAGTCATCTTACACACTTTTTTCTTCATCTGTCATCGTGGCACGACTAGCAGAAACAAAGTATTGTTAATGATCACATAATTCTGAATGGTGCTGGACATAGTACCTTTTAATTTCAGCACCAGGCCAGTCAGGGCTTACATGGTGAAATCTTGTTTGTGGGGGGGGGGGGTTGATGATTTGATGACCTTGACAGATATTTAGAAACTTCCTTTTATTAATATATTCTGAGAGAGTACCAGCCTGTTATGTTGCCCAGTGGCCCTGATTTTTTAGTTCAAGCCATCCTTCTGCCTCATTCTGAGGGAGTTCAGGCCTGTACCACCACACCTGGCTCTTGACTAATATTTCTAATTCAGGTATGCACCATTACCTACAACCACATAAATACCTTTTCTGACCCAGGACTGTTTTTGCCCTTTGGGCCAGGGAACCTCTAACTAGTGCCAGTTTCCTCGGAACATTGCTGTTCCTGAGGGCTCAGGAAAAGGAGAACAACAGATTTAATTAACTCCCAGTGACTGGCAGCATCGTGTTTTTATCTGGGCTGCGTCGCCATGGCAGCCTCCTGGTGGGGTTGTCGAGGGGGCGGGCAGAGCTATTGTTCCTGTCATTGTCTGCTCTGGAACACAGGCCGGGAGAAAAGGACTGACATGGGCAGTCAGAGAGTCGGACAGGAGCCATCTGGAAAGAAGATGGGATGGCCATGGCCTGGCATTCTTTCAAGCCTGGGGTTCCAGCTGATTGTGGGCACCAAAGCTGAGTTAAGAGTGTGTGGGTGTGCCAAGGGCAGGGTGGTTCCTTGGGAAGAAAACCATAAAGAAGTACTCTCCACCAGCTCAGGCTCGGGCATTGTGGCTAAGCCTAGGTTCAAATTAGTGCTGCCATCGAAAGCTTTTGGTGAAGGACTTTCGAGAAGGGCTCATTTTCTGTTGCGTGGAGATGGCAAACTGTTACTGCCTGCTGCCCTTAACTAAGCGGTCCGGGCCCCTTGGCCCTCTGCTGTGATAGCAGGTGGAACGAAAGATGCCCGTTTGTAGTGAGTGCTGGACCAAGTGATTCGGAAAGGCAAATCTCATCTAATTTTCCCTCTGCAAAGAGGGAAAGGAATTGATGGAAGGGAGGGGGCGGCTTGGAGTAAGAATGGTGGAGGACTAGTGGGTCTGCGCATGAGTAGGAGGCGGGGGAAGTCGAGTTGGGGCTGGAATCAGGCAGACAGTGGCGCCTAGAGGAAGGAAAGGGCCTGGCCCACGCCCAGCGTGCCGCGTCGGGAGCAGACAAACGCACAGCCCCGTGGCATGCAGAGGCAGCCACCCATCGGTCCGTGCAGGCACGGCGAATAGTTGGAGGCCTCAGTGCAGGGCAAAGCCGGGGCCAGGCGGGCTGCACGTTGGGCTCCAGGAGGTGGGCGCCCCTTTTCCCCACCCAAAGTAACCGCGTTCTGGTGTCCACGGCCTCCGACACCATCTCGAAGCTGGGGAAGCCGGTACTCTGGGGTTAAGGGTGGCGAATCTCGCGCTCCTCGTCCGCGCCGGGACCTCGCGCGCCCCCTGCTGGCCTACTTTGGGTCGCAAAGGCACTTGGGCAGTAACCGCGGCCGGGTCTCAATTCAGGGAAACCCTATCGGGGGAAACCTCAAGGCGTGACGTCATCCCCGGTGACGTCACCGAGCCCCCGGGGAGTGCGGGGGTTCCCACTGAGGAGGCTTCCCTAGTACTGCGCGGGCCGGGAGTCACCTGGGATCGCGGCGGGCCTCGCTGAGCCGTGTGTCTGCCCCGCAGGTCGCTCGCGGCCCCGGGTGAAACAGGCCCGCGCTGGCGGCGCCATGGAAAGAAGCGGGCACCAAAGCTGCCCCTCGCCGGCATGCGCGCGAATTGAACCCCGCCGCAGGCAGCCCCCGGCCGCAGGTCCCCGAGTGACGCTGGCGGCACCTGGGAGCGTGGCGCGGCCTCGGGGCCACGCCGAGGAGCCCAGTGTCCAGTGAAGCAGTCGAGGACCTGCCGCTCGCGCCGCCGCCATGGTGATGTCCCAGGGCACCTACACGTTCCTCACGTGCTTCGCCGGCTTCTGGCTCATCTGGGGTCTCATCGTCCTGCTCTGCTGCTTCTGTAGCTTCCTGCGCCGCCGCCTTAAACGGCGCCAGGAGGAGCGGCTGCGCGAGCAGAACCTGCGTGCCCTAGAGCTGGAGCCTCTCGAGCTCGAGGGCAGCCTGGCTGGAAGTCCTCCGGGCCTGGCGCCGCCTCCACCGCCGCATCGCAGCCGTCTGGAGGCGCCGGTGCACCCGCATTCGCACGTGCACGTGCACCCGCTGCTGCATCACGGGCCGGCGCAGCCGCATGCGCACCCGCACCCACACCATCACGCACTGCCGCATCCACCACCGCCGCATCTGTCAGTGCCGCCCCGGCCTTGGAGCTACCCGCGTCAAGGTAAGGACGCGCTTCGCTGCCGAGCGACCCGGGCCTCAGAGGGTCACCGCTGCTGACCCCTAGGATACAGAGAGCTGGGAGGGAGGGGCTGGGGCTGGGCGAGGTCTCTGCGGGAGGCTGGGGCTGGTGGCTGCACCCTCACCGACCGCTTCCCGTTCCGCAGCGGAATCCGACATGTCTAAGCCACCATGTTACGAGGAAGCGGTGCTGATGGCCGAGCCGCCGCCGCCCTACAGCGAGGTGCTCACGGACACACGTGGCCTCTATCGCAAGATCGTTACGCCCTTTCTGAGCCGCCGCGACAGCGCGGAGAAACAGGAGCAGCCGCCTCCTAGCTATAAGCCTCTCTTCCTGGACCGGGGCTACACTTCGGCGCTGCATCTTCCCAGTGCCCCGCGGCCCGCTGCCACCTGCCCTGCCCTCTGTCTGCAGGCTGACCGCAGCCGCCGGGTCTTCCCCAGCTGGACCGACTCAGAGCTCAGCAGCCGTGAGCCCCTGGAGCACGGAGCTTGGCGCCTGCCGGTCTCCATCCCCTTGTTCGGGAGGACTACAGCCGTATAGAGGGGCGCCCGGCGTCCCGGGCCCCACTGGCGAACTCCTGGCCTGACTGCGGGGCTTTTTAAATGCTTCCCTTGGACTGCGGGAGGGGTTGGGGGGAGGGAGGGATTTCTTACCCCGTTTGTTACATTTTGAGGATAATAAAGGTGTGTGATCTGCTTTGGTACAAGTGGAGTAGGACACCAGCTGCTTTGAGCTCAAAGAGCTAGTGACCTGGCATGTTAATCTTAGGAAAGGACCTGAACGCATGTTTCCTACCGCCGTAACGAGAACTACAGAAATGAACCTCAAATTTACTTTTTGGGAACCAGAATGGTTCTCGGGAACGAAGTTGAGATGTTCAGACACCACCCACCCTGCTTCTGAGATCACAGGGTAGAGAGGTGTGGCCCTTTCAGCCTCAAACTGGGAAGCTGATCTTTGGGGCCCCACGCCCACGCTATATGAACCCCTGGAGGCCCAGAGCAGCAGGCCTGAAGGGATCTGGATTTCTTTATTAACAGACATGAGCACGACCCGTTACATAAGTTTGTGCTTTAAAAAAAAAAAAAAAAAGTTAATGTGGAAAAGAACCCAAGCAAAGAGGAGGGAGTTGGGGAGGGGCCACCCAAACCCCTGGGTCCCATCTATAGCCCTAACTTGAATCATCGCCTAGGACCTCCAGCCTGGGACCTGCCAGGCAGGAGTGGGCGGGAAGCCAAGGGGCCCCAGGTGGGACTGATACTTCCTTAAGACCAGGCAGAGAGGGGTGAAGAGAAGGGGAGGGGTCCCAGGGAGCCAGAACCCACGAGCCATTTATTGCCATGTTTTAAAATTCGTGCAAAATATCTGAAGCCCTGGATAGAGAATACAAAGTGATATTTTTTCCAAGAAACATAAAACTAGGAAAAAGGTGGGGGGGACATTTTCCCATCAGAACCCCCAACCCCCACCAGGTCCCAAGTAGAGTGAAGTCTCCACCTGGTCAGCTGAACAGGGAGGACTAAGCTACAATCTGGTCTGGGTGGGGATGGGGTAGAATTTGCAACAGCATCTCAACTACCAACAGGAGGAAAACCAGTCAACTGTACAAGTCTATCAACTTTAAAAAAAGAAAAGCTGTAAAAGTCAGGCCCTGTGGGTAGGGAAGCAGACAAGTCCTGGGCCAGCGCCGGAATCCAAAGTGGGTGCCAGGCGGAGCTGCTGCTAATGCAGGCGCTGCAAGTCGTCTGGCCAGAGGCCACTGCAGGTGGATGGTGGCCTTGGCAAGGGCAGTCAGGAGGCAAGAGCCACTACTAATCACCACCCTCGAAGCCCTCTTCCTCTTCAGGTACTGGGTCTGCATCCCAGCAGGTGATGTCGATTTCTAGGATGTTGGGGGTGAAGAGGAAATGGCAGGTCCATGATTATGTCCCCCAACCTCTAAGACCTCTAAGACCTGTGCCAACTGTTTAGTGACACTCAAATCCCACACCATCACCATAATTCCTCCCCATCCATCCAGAGAATACTACCTGGAGGCTTGTTGTAGAATATAGGAGGTGGAGCCTTTGCACACAGCTCTTCTGTTTGAGCAAACTCTTCCTCTTGTGACTGACTGAAGTACCCTTCACTGGCCTGCTGAGTGAAAAAAAAGCAGTGGTCACTAGGCCCCACCTGCCATGACTATGGCTGCTGATCTATCAGGCAGAGTCTGTTTCCTGGCAACCAATGATACCAAGTGGTTGCTGGGGAAACAGATGCCTGCTTGGGAACAAATGCAGAGATGGCTGAGGGAGGGAGAGTGGTCTGGAGCTTCTCAATATGCATCTACAGGCAGTCAGCCCTCCTCCTGCCCACTAGCCTGACTAGTGCCCCTCCCACCAAGCTGCCCCTGTCCCACCTGGGTCCCCTCCTTCTGAGTGGTCTCGCCATTGGTCAGCAGGTGGGTTTCTGGCTCCAGCTCCTGCTCCAGCACCTGATCTGCTTCCTCTAGAGCTGAGGACAGAGATGGAGCCTGGGGGACAGCCAAGGGTTCCCCTCCTAATTCCTCCTCTGGGTCACAGAAGGTGGCTGGCGGCTCAGGCAGCTCATCAAAATTAAGAAGGTTGGCACAGCCTTCACCCACTGATGGCAGTGGCTCCTGAACTGCCTCATCCAGCAGAGGCACCTCTGCCAGGGTGACCTCAGCACCTGAAGGTGGTGTGGCCACCCCAGGCTCAGCCTGGGGTGCTGAGGCCTCTTCCCCATTGCCAGGCCATAGGTCAATAAGGCTGGCAGTTGCAGGGGCAACACTGTTGGCAATAGTGGTGTCAGTAGTGGCAGTGGTGGTCTCAATGGTGTCAGCTGCATGGACGTCAGCTACTAAGGTGGTGGAGGCAGCAGGCTCTGCAGAGTCGGCCAGGACAGCCTGCTCTGAAGACTCTGTGCACATCAAGTCCTGCGTGGGGCTTCCCTGTAGCAGAGGAGGTTCCTGTGCCTGAGGGGATTCCTCCACACAGCCAGCCCAGACCTGAGTCTCTGCTGCTGCTCTGGCCTCCTTGCTGGTCTCTTCACCAGCCAGGCTGGGGCTGGACTCCTGGGCCTCTGTCACAGCACACATAGAAACAGTGTAGTCAGCCCCCTTGGGGAAGGATGGATGCCCTGGGCAGCTGATCTACAATGCCCTGCCCACTCACTGAAGAATGAGGAAGTTGGGGACTTCTGGGAAAGAACACCTCCATTAAGACTTCTCCAAGGTATCTTCCATCAGCAGCTACACCTCATTCTCCCTCCACCTACTGTCTTCTAAATACTGGGCAGCCCAGGAAGAAAGGCCATAGGCCCACTTCAGTGGTGGGCCCCTGAGGTTTAGAAAGGGCAGATCTAAGGGAGTCTTCAGAGCAGGAGCAACACCAGAGCTCTTCTCTGCTACAGCCACTTCCTGGGCAGTATAGCCTTAGTGATGGGTGGTCAGTTCCCTTGGGAGTTGTTACTATGGCAACCTGGGGTTCCCAGCCCAGAGACTGTTGGGAGGATGTATACAGGTGGAGCCCTTCTCTCACCTTGAGCTGGTGGGAGTGGTGGGGGCAGTGGTGGGGGCTGTGAGGATGTGACCTCATCCAGGGCCTGCTCAATCTGCTCAGTGACAGGGGTGGAGGCTGTGCTGGAGTCAGATGGGCTCCGGGTGGGAATGGGAGTGGGTGCCATCCTCCGGTGGCTGTCCAGGTGGCTGCCTGAGGAACAAATGCCAAGGCTGGTCAGTTGAGGGTGGAGGAGCTGGATCAGATCAGGACTGTCCACCTTGTCTTGAGTATGGGTGGGGGCTGTAAGCTCCCCAGACTCTCCAGGGGTTAGACTACTGCTCCAGACCCTGTAAACCATGCCCCTGGGGGCCAGTGCCCTACAGGATCAGGGATAAGAAGCAGGTAGTACCTGCTCTGGGGACAAACACCAGCAGTCAGCAGTCAGGCTGGGGGAACAGGGCGAGGGGGCTGCTGGGAAGTGGGGCCCTCCTTACCCCACCCCACCGAGGCCTGGGGCTGCTACCTACATGGGAGGGAGGAAGAGAGGTTTGGGGTGCGGTGACAGGTGATATAGGGAAAGGGAGTCCGTGGAGGGGAAGAGGAGGAAGAGGAGGAGGAGGAAGGCCCACTGTCCGATGCCTTTATGAAAGGGCAGTACGGACGACCTGCCAAGAGAGACAGACAGAGAAAGAGACAGAGGACAAGAGAGGGTCAGTCTCCCCCACCCCTGCCCCAAGGCCTCACCCACCCCCAGGGCCAGCCCTGGTTGTCCAAGCTGCCTTCAGCCAGGGTATACATTTAGCCAAGCTGGGCCACAGCCTCAAGCCATCTGATGCCTCCCACCAGCCGGCACCAGAAACACACATGGTCAGGAGCCTGCCACATACAGCCAGCCTCTGAATAGCAGCACAAACCGGGATAGCCTGCCATGCCCCTGGAACCCCAGCACAGGACCAAGCACACAGTGGATGCAAACACAGATCAGCAGACAAGAAGAGTGCTTCAAGGGGAGGTAGAAACTACACAGGGAAACACCAAACATGGGCTCTGAGGGAAGGCTCCAGGCTGCTCAAACTTAGGGCTAGGGCAAGATCCCACCCTACATGCACCCACAGCCTTCAGGCCAGGCCAAGACCAACCCTGCAGGGAAGCTCCCGACAGCCAGCGGCGTGCCTGAGCCTATACCAGAGCTGCCCAACCGGCCTCGAGTGCTACCCGCTGTTCAGCCAATGCCCAACACTGACACTGCCCCCAGTGCCTCTGGGGGTGCTGCCACCTGGGAAGCTGTGGGTGGAAGCATACTGGAGGGGTCTTGCCTTCTCCAAGGAGTCCTTGGGCAAGGCTTCTCTTCCAAGGAGTCCCAAAGGGATTCAGGGCCATAGTGTGAGGAGTAGGGATCAGGTAGGGATGGGGCCAAGGACTACCTGGTCGATGGTTGAAGGGTGAGGGCACATCACAGCTGCCTGCAGAGGCTGATGCAACTCGTTCCTGCTGTTTAAAGAACTCCCGTGGGTTGTCGGGCCGCTGGGCAATAATGGCAGCTGCCTCCTGAGAGCACAAGCAAGGAGTTAGGACTGGACAAGGTCAGGCTGGATGGGGCAGACTTTGCCCTTCGCACCTGCTACTTCCCAGCTCTCACCTCCACTTCTGATTCTGACTTCTTCATCTGGGACTCTTCCTCTTCATCTCGCTGGTCACCCTAGAGACCAAAGGGACAGTGTCCTAGGCATTTCTCCCACAGCCCAGCAGTCTCAGCAGTGACACTTCAGTACTCAGCTACACAGTCCTTTCTTCAAGGTTCTCTGACACCTCATCCCCAAACTGGTCAGACTCTGAGTACCTGGCTTACTAACCTCATCTAACCAGGCATCGAGGGTAATCTAGGAACATCGCTAGTTTTTCTTGAATCTCCCACATCACTACATTCCCACCATGGCCATGCAGACCTTAGCACTGTGGCCACTGTGTCCTCATCAGTTCCCTGCCTCCCTGCTCTGTTCAGGGTATTCAGGGTCAGGTCAGACCAGACCATGGACTTTTTTTGGGGAGGGGTCTTTTTGAGACAGTAGCCTAGACAGGACCAGGCTGGCCTTGAACTCAGAGATCCGCCTGCCTCTGTCTCCCAAGTGTTGGGTTTAAAGGCATGTGCCACCATGCCTTGCTAGACCATGGACTTTTCTAGCATAAAATTTCTAAGGGCTTCCATAAGCCACATTAAGCCCTGACTGAACATAGCCCATGAACAGATCTTGTTCTAATGGAGTATCTTTTAGAAGGAAAGTTCCATATGAACTGAAATTGGGATCCCAATTTCTTATTTTGTAGTACTAGGATAGTGCCCAGGGCCTCACACAAGCTAAGCAAGTGCTTTACCACTGACTACACCTGCAGCTCTTATTTTTGAGACAGGGCAGCCTTGAATTTATGATTCTCCTGCCTTAGCTGGGATTACAGGCCTGTACCACCAGGCCTGGCTTTTGTTCCTTTGGAACACTGTCTCTCACTGCCTCCTTTCTAATTTGTGTTGTCTGTCTGTCTCCTCGCACCATACCTGGGATCAAATCCAGGGCCTTGTACATGTTGGGGAACTGCTCTAGCACTAAACCTCAATCCTCAGGTCCCAGGTTTCTCAACACCATCCTGCAGGCCTCCAAAGGAGCTGGAGGTCAGAGTTGTGTAGCAGCTGCCTTTACACCGGGAATGTGCCACCCATCTTCCCCTGCAGTCCCAACCACTCCCTACTGCCCAGCTGGCCATTTCACACATTGTTTTAAAACTGCAACTCAGGACTATAGGTGGGCAAGACCCTTGCTTGGCTATATTCCCTTCCCCTAGCCTGATCTAGTCTCTGTCATCCTTCCAACCCCACCATCTATCCATCCCAGCTCCCACTCGCCCACATACTCTGCTAGATGTGGACATAATGTCCCCTGCACATTATAGTCACAGTGCTTGGAATAATCATACCATTTCCACCTCCATGCTTTGGCATGGGAGATGTGCCCATCCTTCCCAAATGACTGACCCACCACCCCTAGCCCCTTCCATTTCCAACCTGAGCCTGGACATGCCTCCTTAGAAAGAAGTCCATGGCTCATTCAGGCAATTTCCTTCTCTGGCTCCCCTTAGCTACTACAGACTGCACTGGACTGTAATTTCCTGTTTCTGGGGTATCCTCCCCCATCTGCTGTAGCAACACAGGATGAGGACTCAGGTCTCTGTGAATGGCCAGCACAATGCTGGCATGTGTTTTGCTCAATGGAACTCACTACACCAAAGGCCTGCTATTAGCAACTCCTGCTGCTCATAGGGCAAAGTGGCCAGAAAGGTCTGGTGGGGGAAAGGGGGAAAGCTAGGAAAAACACAACTTTTTCTCTTGCATTTTCAGACAGGGTCTCATTTTGTAGCCCAGGCTGGCCTAGAACTCACAGGGATCAGCCTGTATCTGCTTTCCAGTGCTGGAACTGCAGGAGTATACCTCCACACCTGGCTCAGAACTTCTTCATTTTTGAGCACATAACTTAGAACTTACCTAGTATGATTTCCCTCACTTCCTTTCCTTTGTTAATGAAAGAAAAGAGCAAAGGCAGGCTGGGGAGGTGGTTCAGAGGGTCAAGCATGAGGACCCAAGTTTGGATCCTCAGCAGACACGTAACAAGCCCAGTGTGGCAGCACACATCTGTAACACCAGTGCTGGAGGAGCAGAGACAAGAGGAGCCCTGGAGCTCGCTGGCCAGCCAGTCTAGCCAGAATGGTGGGCACTAGGTTAAGTGAGAGACCCTGTCTCAAACAACAAGGCAGAAAGCAATAGAGAAGACACTGTAGTTAACCTCTTCACAAGTGCATGTATGGGTGAGTGCACCTCTCTACCCCTAAAATACAAACACAAAAAAAATAAAAAATAAAATAAAATAATAAAAGCAAAGCAAAGAAAGGGACAGAGGCAACTTGTCACAAAGGCTTTAACTATGAACAATGTGAATACTGCTGAAACAAGTTAGAGCTATGGCTAGGAGAGAAAGCAAGACACTGACAGTATGGGTCAAGAGCACTATTGTGCCTAAGAATTTCAATACATGAGAACTCCCTGGAAGCCTAGGCAAAAAGGGAAATAAGGAACACAACTCTTGCTAACAGGAAAGAAAACAGAATAGCTCCTAACAATTCCCGAGTCAAAATATCTTACCTTACTAAATTTCAGTTTTATCTGGGACCTTCTTTAGAGGACCCCAAATCAAAAGGCCATTGTAACAACTTGCTGCAATATCCAGTTACTTTCACATGAACTACTTGAAGGGGTGTATGGACTATAAAATGATGGCATGAACTCCTTCAGACTTTGGCAAAGAAGGACTAAGGAGTCACATACTAATCTGACTTCTTTCAATTTCTTATTCATTCTTTTTGTTTTTCAAGACAGGGTCTCTTTGTAGCCCCAGCTGGCCTGGCACTCACTATGTAGACCAGGTTTTGCCTGCCTCTGCCTCCGCGTGCTGGGATTAAAGGCATGCGCCACCACACTCAGCTTATCCTGTCTACTTTTGTGTGTCTGTCCACATCTTTGACATTTTTTATAAAATTTCAAGAAGACCTTGACCTGAGCATTGAGGGCACACACCTTTAATTTCAGCACTCAGGAGGCAGAGGCAGGTGGATCTCTGGGAGATCGAGGCCAACCTGGTTTTCATTGCAAGTTCCAGGGCAGCTGGGGCTACAGGGAGACCCTGTCTCAGAAAGACCAAACGAAAAAAACAAAAAACTAATTTTTGGGGGGCAGGGGGAGCTTGTGTGGAGGCCAGAGGACAACTTTGTGGAGTTAGTTCTGTCTTTCCGCCTTTGTGTGGGATCCAGGGATGAAACTCAAGTCAAGGCTTGGCAGCAAGTGTCTTTACCATGCCAAGCCATCTTGCCAGCTCTTAAGAAGGAAATCTTGACATACTACAGCATATATGAATCAGGAAAAATGCTATCATGATTCCACTTATATGAGGTAAAGTAGCCAAATTCACAAAAAGTGAATGATATTTGCCAGGGGAATGGGGAGTTAATGTAGCTAAAGCTCTTTAGCTTCAATGTAAAAGAAAACTTAGGGGCTAGAGAGGTGGTTTGGTGGTTAAGAGCATTTGCTGCTCTTACAGAGGACTGGAGTTCAGTTCCCAGTACCCACAGTTGGTGGTTCACAACCACCTGTTAACTCTAGCTGCAGGGGATCTGATGCCCTCTTCTAGGATCTGCAGGTATCTACACACATTTATACACACACACAGACACACACACACACACACACAAATAAAAATAAGTCTTAAAATAACAAAAAGAGCTCTGGAGATGGCGGGTGGTGATGGCTATACAAAAATGTGAATATAATTAATGCCACCTGATATATACTATACTTACAAGTGGCTGAATTGGTACATTTTAATGTTATGCATATTTTACCAGAATTAAAAACAAACAAATGAGCTGGGTCTGATGGTGTACACCTGTAATCCCAGCACTTGGTAGGTTGAGGCAGGAGAGCTGTGAGTTTGGTGCTAGCATGCCAGCCAGGGCTACACAATGAGACCATATCTTAAAAACAAAGAAACAACAATAAACCCCAAATGAATTAATTTTTAGAAAGACCTTTCTCATCTTGCTCTCCATGTTTCTAATTCAGTACAAGGTAAGCAGGAAGACTTTGTGAAGGAACTATTCAGACTGGAGTTTATTAACCATACACCATCTCCACCAGGGACTGACATGATCAGAGTGATATAGGACAACCACTAATACTGGTCCAAGAAGGACTATCTTGACCCCTCCTTCCAGAGCTGTGGTTCTAACCTTAGAGCTCATTCTATTTACCAAAGCCCAACATCTGCCCATCATAGTCACAATCCTATGAGAAGCACTACACTATCCCTGCTGAACTATATCTTACTCAGGCCTAAATGACCTTAGCTATTCCTCAAATACTAAATTCAATTCAGGAGCTACAAGTGTATAGTTCAGTGGTAGAGTACTTGCCTAGCAGGTGTGAGGCCCTGAGTGTAATGCCCAGCATGAAAAATAAAAATTTACAAATCAAAGAACAAAGATTTGCCTCTGCTATGATTTTCAAGGATCAACTCACAGGTGGACTGCCCATTCCCAATGCTTAGAGATTGGGATAGCTTCAATGTGACAAGGGGGCTGCTCCAGAGACCCTTCACACTTGAGTAGATGCTCAAAACACTAGCCCAGATTCATTCAGGCAGCTCTGCAGCCTCCTTGTGGTAGATCCTAGTTCTCAAGTCTCCCACCTGCAGGACCTATGACTAATCTGCCCCAAGCCCCCCAAACCCAATGGGGGAAGGGACAGTAGGAGCCCAATCAGTGAGGGGCTAGGTCAAGATAGATTTCCTCTTCTAAATCTATTCCAATCTAGATAATATGCTGCTTTTTTTTTTTTCTTTCGAAACAGGGTCTCCCTGTAGCCCCAGCTGGCCTGGAACTCATTATGCAGACCAGGGTTGCCTTGAACTCACAGAGATCCACCTGCCTCTGCCTCCCAAGTGCTGGGACTACAGGTGTGCGCCACTATGCCCGGCTCTTAGATAATATGCTTCTAGAGGAAGTTTCTTTCCACAGCCAGAGATTAGAGCCTGACATGATGGGGTGCCAAGTCTGACACTCAAGATACCAATGCTCATGCAGGTTCTCAGAATACCCAGTACTGTCCCAGGGCCACCAATGTCCTCAGAAGGCCTCAGAACACAGGGGTCATCCTCACTTTCCTGACCAGAGTGTGAGAGACTTGGAAAAGAACTTACGAAGATAGACTGCTCCTTCAATCTCCTCTTGGCCTCTTCGGCTTCTAGAGTCTGTTGTTTCCTCCTGGAATGAGAAGTGCAAGCACTCCCTTCAGGATGGGCTTGGGGAATAGGCAGCCCTCTGCCTCAGGTGGGGCCTCACCTGTGCTCCTCAATCTGCTGCTCCCGCTCTCGGTAGCGCCGCTCACGCTCCTCCTGCTCCTGCCGCTCTTGCTCCATGCGTTCCTGCTCAAACCTGAGCCTGGCATCCAGGGCCTTCTTCCGTTCCTCCTCCTTCCTCAGCTCTTCTTCCTTCTACACCCAGGAAATACAAGCCCTGAGGCCAGCCCTGTCCCTCCATTCCACTCCTTCCCAGACTGGGGAGACTGCCTTCTGGGAATTAGGAGAATGAGCCCTGCATGCAGGAGACCAAAAGGGCTTTCTCTTTCAGCTGGGGGAGCATGTGGATGAGAAATTTGGAGCTACCCTACAGGCTCAGGTAGGGGCACCTCAGCCCGAAGACCAGGATCAGGGTTTCACACCTTGGCCTGCTCCCAAAACTGCTCCCGGTTAATCCGCTTCATTTCCACAGCTGCGTCTGTCTTCTGGTAGGTGGTGCCCTGCAGAGTCAAGCGCCCTGGCATGAGCACCAAGAGCAGGCTGAGTAGTCCAATGCTCCCACGCGCAGAGTGAGGGCTAAGAGGGGCTGGGGAGACCCGACTTGGGGGCCAGGCCACACAGGTGGAGCCTGGGCAGGGCCAGCCTGCTCCAGGCACACACTGACCACCGGCTCGGCATTCTCATCCTCCCGAAGCCGCAGTCGGTGCAGCACTGGGCTGGAGAGCCGCGCTAATCCATTGGAGAGCCTCTGCCCGATGGCACCGGCATCAATGTCTTCCACACTGCTGGCATTCACAATTACGTCAACACCCTTCCATAAGAAAGCAGTGTTTAGATGGCATCTGGTTTCCCATCACCACCCCCAGCATACAAACAGCCCTGAGCAGCTGTACATGGGGGCCTTCCTCGTACCTGGAAGAACTCAGCCACCTTAGCCACATGGCTGGCACAAGCACACTTTCGGGCATCAGGCACGTCTTCACCAACCTGCAATGTATCCAGTGAAGAGGGGCTCAGGAAAGGACAAGAGGAGGGTAGTAGCTAGCAGGCCCAGCCTATAGTCCCAAGAGCTAACAAGATTCTCCCCAGCAGCAGCTATGGGTGGAAGGCGGCCACTCTGGGGCCTTCAGCTCCCAGCCCCAGCCCACAGCTGCATACCCAGTTGATGAGCACATATTTTGGCAGGGCAGCTTGGGAGTCCTTGACGCTGCAGAAGCCGTACATCACTTTCTGGTTCTCGAAGTGGCCGGAAAGCTCCTGCAAGCCCCCTTCTGGGGGAACCAGGAGGGTGTCAGGACTCTCCATCTCCCATACCTTTACCCTACAAAGGGCCTAGAACCCCCAAGGGATCTCTAATCTTCAAGATCTGGAGGTTCTAGAGCTTTGTGTAATAAGGTAAAGGGGTAGATAGGATTCCAGCTCTGCCCATAAATCCTCTAGGGCCTGATTAGAGAGGACTGAAAGGTGTTTGCTCACATATCATTTCTCACTCATCACGTTATCGCACGTCTCACCAGGTGCTAGTGCCCAGTGAGGTAAATGAAGCTCTCCTTAATGAAGTTTTCCGCATCTAGAGAAAAACAGGGCTACTCTGGGCCTCCCTACCAGGCCCTTTCCCTAGCTGTGCAACTTGGGCAAGTCACTTTCCTTCATTGAGCCTTCCCAGAAGTCAAACAGAAAACAAGGCTTCCTCCTGCCCCACTCTGAGGAATGCAGGGATGACAGAGGATGAGAGGAAAGACAACCACCAGACAAAGTGCGGGTCTGCTGGATGCAGGCAGGAAGGTGGCTGTGAGCCAGGGGGAGGAAGAAAACAACCAGAGGAGGGGGCGGAAAGGAAGAGGAATGGCTGAAATCCTTACCTCCTGATCCAGCAAGCTTGAGGTCATCGGAGCCATCCTCATATGTGTACAGAGCCCTGGGGAGAGGGATGGGTGGCTCAAAGAACTGTCAGGGTTTAGGCAGCCAATTTTGGGTGGAGATGGGACTAGAGAGGGAGCAGGACACCAGAGGGGGCAGGGCAGACAGGACAAGGAAAGGAAGAGCTGTTGTTGGTCAGGACTACAGGGCCAGGCATCATTTGCGCTTGGAGCCCAGAGCCCTGGAGGCCTGGAGGCCTGGGTCAAATGGAAATCAGAATGGTGGGGGAGAAATTGCTGCCTAGGCAGCCTAGTCAGCTAAGCGACCGGCCCTAGCCCTGGCAGCCCACAACTCAGTGGAGCGGGTGTGCGATGGAGATTCCAAGGCAACGGTTTCTTGGTTACGGTTCCCTGGCGACCACGATTCTTGTCCCTCATTGGTCAGAGCCAGGAATCTACCTGGTGCGTGCCTTGATACCCGCTGCCCCTCCCCCTGTTCGGAGGGAAGAGGAGGAGAATCTGGCGTTCAGTGCTGGGCATCCCCTGGTAACCATGGCAACCCTGCAATTGGCACAGGAACCAGCCCACCAGAGCTGCATTCTCCTAGAACACAAAGGACCCTGGGGACCGTCCTCAGACTCAATCTCTCTCTAAAATGGGGATGAGGTCACCGTGGTCACTCCTGGACTCTGGCCCCAAGATAGCCACAGTCTCCTAGCCTTCTAGCTCCTAAGCTGCCTCTGCCTTAGCTAAAGCCTCCTAGGCATGTTAGCCAGAAAGCTAACCTAATGACTTTTCTCCTTCCTAGCTTTTTCTGCCCTGTGTTTGCTTTAGGCAGGCATGGTATGGCATCCATTTCATGGAAGGGAATGCAGAAATCTGCACCCCCCCCCCTTCAAGCACAGGCAGGGGACCCAGGGGGAGAAGAGGTCTGGGTCAAGGAACACAGTTCTGGTCCCTGAGGTTCAGAAGCGCTCAGACTCTACCTCAACTCCCATTGCCTAACTCCCAAGTCAGGAAACTGGAGTGAGAAAAGGACAGAGAAGCAAGAGGAAGATGGAGGAAAGGGAGGAGTAGAGAGGAAGAAGAAGATAATAGACAAAAGAAAGGAGGGAAGTGAAAGAATAAGAAAATGGAAGAAAAGAGAAGAGAGGAAAGGAAGGGGGATGAGAGGAGAAAGGGTCTGGCCCCAGTCCCGAAAGGTTGGCTAAGTTGTTAAAAGGCCCAAATGGGTCCCCAGCCACTCCCTGCTTTTCTTCACAAAGAGACACAGGTGGGCTATAGGTCCCAGAGCTCCTGGTCCAACTGTTGCCCCATCCACTGCCCTGACAGCTGCTTCCCAGCACAGCTGTCCCACCACCTGTCAGGCTGCCTTAACCCATGGCTGGGAACAAAGAGCCCTCAAAGAAATAGGGTGTATCCCTCTGTGTTCACAGATGAAAAACTGAGGCAGCACCAGGGACCTGGCTTCTTCCAAGACGTTGCTCTGGACATCACACTTTCTAGGATAGGCTGCTTGTCTCAACCTCACCCTGGTTCCTTCCACCTTTCATCCCTGCCCATCCACCTCCAGACAGCCCCATGCCCTGATAGGGCCACAGTCCTTCCTCAGTAGAGACCATGCCTAAATTCAAACACTGAGCTCCAGCCTTCATCCTTAGCTCTGCCCAGCCCACCTTTCCATCCTGACCTCTATATTCATACCCACACTTGCTCTCTGATCCCAAGCTCAGTTCTGGATACTTTCTATGCTATAGCCCTTTGTACTGTGCTTCTTTACACGTGGAAGGCTATTCAGAATGCCACTGCCACTGCAGGCAGCCTCATTCTGAGCTCCAAGACCCCAGAGCATGGGCTGCACACACACACACACACACACACACACACACACACACACAGTATAGATGAGAAAAGACATCTATACTGGCCCCAGACCATGCTAGAAGTGTTTCTCTAACATACCACAAGGACTTAGAACCTGGCTGGTAGGAGTTAGGGAATAAACAAGGGTGGAGGGGGGTGGGGGGTGTAGATTGTAAATCTACACAGTTCTTCAGCATCAAGCCCTGGAGATAGTCACTGCCATAGACTGTAAGTTTTGTAAAGGCAGCAAGTCTAACTCAGCTAACACATACCACTGTCTGGGTTCTGGGTCCTGGGTCCAGCAGAGTAGCACCATAGGGATTTGTCATGATGACACAAACTCTTACCAACCATCTATGTCAGAGAAACTGGACTATGGCAAGGTAAGACCTAGACTGTGGCACCACCAGGGAGATACTGGAATCTGTTAAAGGTGGAAAGTTGAGGAGCCCTCAAAACCCTCACACTCTCAGGGTGCTAGACTTGGAAAGGCTCTGGGGAATCCTAGATAAGATTATGCCCCATTCCCCTCTTTTCCTTCAAGAGTACCAGAGAAGAGTAGGAACTTTGGTATGGTGACACAGTGAACTCACATCATAAATAGTGCAGTGCTGGCCTTTCCCACTACACAACCTGACTTCCTGAGTGTCCTGCTCCAAGCACAAGGACAGTGGTCCATTTCAGAGACCCTGCCAGCTAGGGGTGAGCTACCCCTAACCTCACCACACCCACCTTCAAAGTCAAGAGAGCAGGAGGAAGATACCAAATCCTCATTCCAATATTTTGCTCAAGACACCCCTCCCAATGGACTATTAAGAAGAGGGTCTTCCCTGAACCTTGAGATCTCACCCAGCTCTTGGTTCTGTGTTGGGAGCTGGACAGACTCATGTTCCCTTCTGCACCATGTGGTCCTCACACCCTTTTTACAACATGCTATCTAGACCCTTCAGAGTGAGCAAATGTATATTCAAGGATGCATATGTGCATCTGTGTGTGTCCCACACACAACCCAGATGGGGCTGACGCAAGCCAGAGATGAATAACTAGCTCCGGTTGGCCACATGGATGTTACTGGTGGTGGGAGCCTAGGTCTCTGCTGGACAGGATGTGGGGCAGCAGTGTTTGGGTAGCCCCAGCACTGGGCTGCCAGAGCTCTGCTTTTAAGGGGTCAGGAGAAATGAGGCTTTGTCTATACCCCCACCCCAGACTGGAGAACAGGGCAGGGTTCGGCTGTACTCCTCAGGCAGGGCCATATCCAAAACCAGTTTCTCCACCAGACCAAGCAGGCCACTTGCCCAGACTGCCTCCCATGATCTCAGTCCCCCAGAGGCAGGGTCGGGACAATAATGTGTCGACTGCCCTGCCTTGCCTGTGCCAGCCTCTTCTATAACTGACCTGCAGGACACAAGAGCTTGTCTCCTGAGTCTATCCCTCTGGGCCTGGCTGCTGGCCAGTGCTGCAGTACTATGGCATGGATGCCTGGCCATCTTGCTCCCTCCTCCAGCCCCCCTACTTGGCTGCCCTTCCAGGGTGAGAGTGAGGCCAGCCCAACTGGGGTCCCTCAGACCAGTCCTTACTCTGCCTCAGTTTCCTCAAGAGCCTATTTCCTGCCTGCCAGGGTGAAGAGACCTAGGTATAAAATGGACACTTGCCCCATTGAGAAGAACATTTGGGGGATAAGTCCAGATGGGGCAGCATGGAACACCCCCCTCGGGTTTCCGGGCCATCCCGGGGCTTCAGCCCAGAGCAGGTGGTTCATCCCCTCCCCCCCACCTCGGGGGTGGGGGGGCGGGGATGACAGCTGGGGAGGGGGAGAGAAGCAGTCCAGCTCAACCCACCGGGATCGGGAGCTGATTGCCCCATGCTGCTGGGCTGAAGGGGCTAGGATCCCAGCGGATCTACTCATCTGACCATCCCTCTGCAGGGACCCCATCTACACTTCCTCCCAACTGGTCACCTAGGAAGGCTGCCCAGTTTCCTGGGTCTACTCCAGTCCAGCTGCCTAGTCCCCGCAAGGGAGAGAAGGGCTAGCCCAGCCTCCTCCTCTGTGACCCATGAGGGATAAAGGAATCACTTCGCAGTTGCCATGTGGCAGTGAACCTTCTATCATATCACAACCCAGACTGAGGAGGGGACGACGACCCCAGAAGCCCCCGGTGGGCGGGGCGCCCTGGCCCCCAGCCCGCTGCGCGCCTCCCCCGCCCTGGTTTTCCTTTGTGTTGTGGCCGGACCGGGCTGGCTGCACTGGCTCCGCTAGCTCGGTCCCCGCCCCGTCCCCACCCGGTCCTCGCCCGCTGGAAGGTGGCGAAGGTGCCCTTGGCTGGCCCGTGCACACCTGTCCCCCGGGCCCTAGGGGGGAGCGGGGGGGGGGAGAA